TATTCCTCACTTTAAGCAAACGCAGTCTGAAAGTGAGGGTTTTCCTAAAAGAAACTAGGGACTGATTATTTTACAAAATAGCTTGCAGAAATGTGTTTTAGACTCCAAATGCTTGGGTGTGTTTGTGAGGGTATCTGCTTGCCTGGGCCCCATGTGTGTCCAGAGCTTCTTGTTCCTCGTCCTCTGTCCCAGGACAGTCAGCCACTAGCTTGTAAGCATGACCATCTGCTTGGAAGAGCATAGGGCCTTTGAGGTGCCAAGCGTCTCAGAGACTTACAAGCTCCTGCATCTGGGAATCAGCCACACAGCCACACTACAGCCTCTCTTTTGGCTTCCTGCCATCTGTGTCATGCAGGGCCTGCTCCCCCACACCCCCCCAGCACACTGTCACTCCTGCCCTGGGTCTCTCATCCGTTGATGGTGGTCTGCCAGCCACCCATTCCTTCCACGCTTCTCTGTAAGTCAGGGTCTGTGGATAGCGGGTGGAGAAGGCCCCTTGGTTGAAGTGATCCTAGACTGTCTTCCCCCCACTTACAGAGGAGGAAGGAAGTTGATGTTCATTAAAGGACAGCCATGTTCAAGTCTCTGCCACTGATTGGGGTTACTCCCTCCTCCCCCACCTCAGGCAAAGCAGAACTGGAGGGCAGAACAGCTTGAGGGGTACAGCTTGGTGGGTCTCAAGTTCTCCTGTTCTTAGCTGTGTGTCTCTGGGCAAATGGTGGCACTGCTCTGGGCCTATTCTTATCTCTGCATTGGGTAGGATAACCAGGCCCACTGCAGAGATGTGGAGGGTCTGTATGTAGGGTGGAGTGAGTAACTGAACAGGCTGGTGTGTGGTCATGGCTGGGTTTCTGTCTTGCCTAAATCCAGTTCTCATAAGGTAGGGCTTGTATCCTACCTGCACCATCCTGGCCAGGCCACTTAGTCTTTCTGGATGGTGATCTCATCTGAGAAGAGGCCTGTTAAGTGCTGGCAGTGAGTGGCCCAGTGTATGACTGCAGGGACCTGCAGGAAACTTCTTTTATGGTGTGCCAGGTGACAGCTGCCTGTCACTGGGACTCTGGGTCAAGGCTGTTGATTGCACTTGGCAGTGACTTTCCCAAGGCTCTGCCCACTGGGAACTAGGCACTAGGCTGCTTGCTGTGTGGCCCTGTGGGTCTGAGAGGGACCTATGTTCAGATGAGGTGGGGAGAGTCACCCTGGAGAGGGAGCTAGAATAGGATGTAGAGCAAGTAGGGCCAGGCCCTTGAGGGGCAGCCTAGTAGAGGGAGGGGAGGGATCAGGGAATGCTGGTGGTTTGGGCAGAGGGGCAACAGGGGTGAGGCCTGGACAGGTGTCAAGGTGGATTGGAGAGGAAGGATGGGGGAGAGAGGCCAGAGTCAGGCATGAGGAGGATGGAGCTGAGGCACAGAGAGGCTTGGAATTGAGCCCACAGTCACACAGTTGGTGGGGGAGAGCAAAGCCTTGGGCCTGCATCTGGGGAGGGGAGAGGGCATTGGGGTCTGTAGATGTCAGCTGCCCTCAGCCTGGAGCCAGCAGCGCAGCGGAGGCAGGTCTGCAGCCAGCAGGGGTGGTGCAGGCTGAGGCTCCTCAAGCTTCATTCGAGGGCTCTCTGGGCGCCAGGCATAATGCAGACTGATGTGATGTCTGCCAGTGATGGGGGGTGCAGGGAGTGCTGGATGAGCAACTCCATCAAGCAGGCATGAGCGAGTGTGCGAAGAAGGCGCTGGATGGAGCCAGGGTGAACTGGTGGCTGGAGACAGGGCCCAGGGGAGGTTGTGGAGACAGATCTGAGCTCAAAGCCAGTTCTAGACTTTCTGGGGGCGGGGGCAACCTTGACCCCACTGGCCACAGTTCTCCATCTGTAAAGTTGTGAGGGCAGAAACAATATTGAACTTAGTATAAGACCTGGGGCAGGATAGGGCTGGGGGGTGCAGGCAGCTAATGCATTCCTACCATTATTATTGCTGTGTGACAGAGTCCACTGGGGTGGCTTACAGATTCACTCAGCTGCTTTCATTTGGGATGTGTCACGGTCTGCCAGTCAAGGAGCCCAGAGACAAAGGATGCCCCCCCACCCCCAGATGAGATGCTGGTGCCAGGACCCAAGGCTCAGACTCCCAGGTAGAGAACAAGGAAGGAATAAGTGAATCCAAGAAAGACACACCCCGATAGAGCAGGGGTGAAGGGTAGACAGGCCTCCCTTGACAGGGCTGGGCAGTGCTGAGACTGACCTGTGTCTGATTTTACCAGGTCAACATACAAGATGCCCAGAAAGGGTAGGGGTTTTGCACAAGGTCACACAGCAGCTGGTCCTGGGAAGCAGACCTGTTGGCTTGAGGGTCTGGGTGCTGCCCCCACTTTGTAAAGGAGAGATGTGATCATTTATCAGGGGAGTTTAATAATGAATGTACTTGAAGTGTCTTTAACGCAGGCAGCAGGCCCAAGGTAATAAAGGACCCTGTATTAATTCGGAAGTTAATGAATATGCAGGTGTGTCTGAATGATTGATGGGGCTCCCGAAGGCCTTGGAGAAGGGTGCTGAGTTATTTGCTGATGGAAACATGAATATTGCATACATCTGAGAAGTTGGATAAACCAGGAGCAGGTGGGCACGAAGCAACCAGAGGATTCTAGTGGCCAGAGAGCTGGTGACACAGTCACGTGAGCAAATACATGGCGTCATGCTCATGCATCTGCATCCTCTGGCAGAGTGATCTTGAGCAGGTCACTTAGTCTTCTGAGCCCCAATTTCCTCATCTACAGAATGGGTAAAAACAAACAAAGCAAAACCCCTGCACAATAGCTGATGCTCAGGATCCAGAAGATGGATCAAGACTGGCCCTGAGTTCAGGAGCAGGCTCAGGGGACAAGCTGATCAGGGTATTAGAAAAGTGGGAAGAAAGGCTGGGGGGGCACGGCTGGGGGGCTCAGTGGTGAGAGCATTTACTTAGCATGCATGACACTGTAGGTTCTACCCTGGCATGGGGGCAGGCGTAGAGCAGATGGAAGAGAAGTGAGAAAAGGAAAGGATGGATAACTAACCAATGAAGGTAGACAGACTTTACAGTTTATAAGGGGGGTGGGACTGCCCTCAGGCTACCCATTGCTTCTTGCAGCAGATGCGTGGGGTTGAGAAAGTGGCTTTGGGTTTGTTGAGATGCTGAGGCTCAGAGAGGACCTGTCACTGCCCAGGCCACCAGCTACCAGCCACCAGCATCGATGGATGAGAGTCAGGTCTGCTCCCCGACCTGTGACTGTCAGAGCACCTGCAGGTGGAGTCCATGCTGACCCAGAAGGGCATTCAGAATCTTGGAGGGAGGTGGACTGGGGTAGGGTTGTGTTTGGGTTCCTTGGCTTCTCTGCTTGCTGTGTGAGGGTCCATCTGAAACCCTGCTCCTTCCCGATGCTCAGCCCTGGGGCTCCCAGACTCTGTATCCATTCCTGTTCCCTTCCTGCTCAGAGTTGTGCTATGTGTGTATGCACTTGTCTCAGATCCCAGGAGCAGTGGGTGCTGGGCCACCTCATCCCCTCAGCCTCGGTTGATACCCTTCAAATGTGGGTGTCAGAGTGGCTTCTGTCCTGAGCGTGCAGAGCCTGGCGCTCATGAGGCAAGATGGGGTGCGTCTTCCCCCATCTCTGACCCACATCTGACCATAGGCATGGCGCTCTTGGAATATGCCTGTGGCATCTTCTTTATCCTTATCCAGATTGGCCTTGGAGGCTCTCCCGGTACCATGATGGGCAGTGTTGCATCCTGGGTTTTGCAGGGTGGGTCAGACAGGCCCCCTGGCCCCATCTCCCACAAAGCCCTGTCCAGATAGATGTGACACCAGTGTCTCATCATGCAAGCTACAATAAATAGAAGCAGAGGACAGACACCTCCTTGGCCAGGCCAGTGAGGGCCTTGCTTACCACCCAGTTCCCCTAGGCCCACCACAGGTCTTCTGATCTTGGCCTCGGCTGCAGAGACCATTGACAAGCGAGGGACTTTGAGCCCTGGCTCCTAGATCCCTTTCCCTGCCCCACCGTATTCCCAGCCAGTGAGGGGGACACAGCCAGGTTGCCCTTGACTGCCACAGAGAACAAGAAGGTCAGCCTGCAGCACCTCTCTTTGGCCAGTCCTGCTGGGGCAGAGCTCTGGGTTGTAGGAAAAAGGACCTCAGTGGTCACAGTCCTTGTAGCTTGCTGCTGACAGACATGGAAACCAAGGCCCAGAGAGGAGGCGGCTTCAGGGCAGGGCTAGGGTTGGGGCCCTGCGGGGCCAGCCTGGCTATGTATTTATAGACCCCACTGATCTATATTAACTCAGGGCCTGCTCAGGCTGTGGCAGCCTGGGCTCTGAGGACTGCTTTGAACCCTCTAGGGGGGCTGCTGTATCTGAGCTTGCCCCTGTGGGGAGAGAGGAACAGGGGTGAGCCTGCTTTTCACCTCACCCTTCCGCGTCCTGGGGCTCCTGCTGGGTACTTGGCCTACAGAGTCTTTAGCAGCTTGGGTTGGGTTCAGGGCCACCCTCTGGGGGGTCTCAGTGTCTTTGTCTGGGGTTTGTCACGCCTTGCTTCCTCCAGCTCTGGGGGAGACTGTCCATACAGTGTGGGATCCAGGGCAGCTTTGCTCTGAGTCTCAGTCTGCATGACTCAGTCAGCCCCTGCTCTGAGTCAGTCTACATGACTGTAGAATGGGTGCCATTATAAGCCAATTCACAGGCATTAGGCGTGGAGCACAGAGTGCCCCTAAGCTGGAGGCCACTATGTGCATGCCTCCCACATCTCTTCTGACCCTCGCCCTCAACATGCACAGAACTTCAAGGGACAGACTGTCTCCTCCAAATGGGGCCTGTGAGGCCCCTAAGCCTGAATGTTCCCTCCTCCCAGGCTCCTCCCCAGGGCCCTTCGGGTCCTTGGGGTGGGGGCGGGTATAGGTTGAATCTTCTCCCACAATGTGGTCCAGCCCCTGGTCGCCGTGGGAACAGCTCCACTAACTCTATGCTTCTTTTCCAGAGCAGAGACGACTGGCCGCCCTGAGTGCAATTCAATTCAACAGACATTTACTGAGTGCCTACTATGCGCCAGGCCTTAGGCTAGGCACTGGGGAGCACAGAAAGGAAAGTGGGGCCCCATCCTCAGGTAGTTCTGGGTTGAGGGGTGGTATAGAGACAGGCAAGGGCTCAACAGCTGGGTACCAGGAGAGAAGCCTTGTGGAGGGCTGGAGCAGCAGGCCTGGGATGTAAATGCATCACTAGAGGGCTACTGTTCTTTGTCTGTGCCTCAATTTTCCCACCTGTAAGCTGGGAGGAGGTGAGGTGGGGTAAGACTTTTCTAGGATTCTGCAGGTCACATCAGGGGTGGGGAAGAGCAGGGAGGCCATCCTTCTGCCTGCAGGCTCCTCAGAGGGGTTATAAGCACTGGGCCCCAGGGCAGAGGGGCAGGTGGGAACAGGTCCCCAGGATCAGGAACAGCATGAACAAAGGCCTGGTGGACATGGGGCTGGGCTGTGGGATTAGGAAGGGACATGATGGGGTGTGAGCTTAGAGGAGAGAAAGGTTGAGGGCCACACTCTGGGGTGTGAAGTCCATTCTGGGCCAGTGGCAGCCATTGTGGGCTGTTGAGGGAATGAGAGACACGTGGTCCTGCTTTGTTTTATCTTTCTTCTCCTCTCCTCGGAGTTCCTGTAGGAGCAGTAGCTGTGTAGTTAGTGTGGCATCTGTGCTGTGTTAAGCATGTCACCTTACTACAGCCCCAGGAAGTGGGCATTCATGGGCCCAGTCCCCAGGGCAGGACACTGGGGCTCAAAGAGGGAAGTTTCTTGCCCGAGGTTATGATCTGACCCCAAGACCCCTCTATTGCTCCCACTACCTCTTGCTGAGGGGGTCTGTATGCTGTGTGATTGCTCCCATCCTGTCTACTCCAATGTCCTGGTGGCCACCGAGAGCAATGGCAGGAAGAGCCATAGATGCCCTGAGCTAGGCTAGTTTTCTCCAAGACCCAAGTGAGGGCTCAGCAGCCACTCTCAGACTGATAATGAGGTGGCTCCTTCCCACTTTACTTATGGGTGGACTGAAGCCCAGAGTCATGGGCTAATTCGTGGTCAGACTTGAGGGAGTGACGACCTAGACTGGGATCCTGTCTCCTTAGCATCAGCTGAGGCATTGGGCATGAAGAAGCCTTCCCCTAACTCCCTACACCCAGACCTGTGCAGAGGCTGTTTCCCTATGCCCTCCCTAGGGAGTACAAAGGACTCAGACCACAGACCTCGGTTCAAGTCCTCGTGTTAACTTTGCATGACTGCGTGATTGTGAGAAGTCATTAACCACTTTGAGCCTCGGTTTCTTTATCTGTTCATGGGAGAGCTGGCTTCCCTATCCACTTACCAGCAGATACTTAATTGAGCACCTACTGAAGCCTGGTGCTGGCTGGGCTGGTGGGGAGGCTCAGAATCTGGCCTTCCTTGGAGAACTGAGTCAAGGGGGAGTAGTAACAGTTAGCGTTCTGTTAGGGATGGAGGAGGACAAAGCCCAGGGAGGCTGTGGGAACCCCTAAGAGGTATCCCAGCCAGGTGAGGAGGGCAGGTGCCAGCGATGCCAGGACCATAGGCGCTAGGCTCTGGGTGTACTAGAAATTTTCCCAGATGAGCCAGGAGCCAGGGAAGTCATGCTCAGATTGATGTTTTAGAAAGTTCTCCCTCTGCTAGGTGGAGGTTGGATGTGAAAGGATGGTAAGCTTAGAGGCAGAAGTCAATGGGTGGGGCAGGGGGGCACAGAGACCCCCAGGGTAGGGAGCTGGAGAGAGGGGGTGAGTGTCCTTCCTGCTGCCTGGGAGGGGACAGGCAGCTGGGAGAGGGCTTTTGGGGGTGGTCAGCACCAAGCTGCTGCTAAGGACAGGTAGAGGACCAAGATGAGCTGGGGAGTGGGAGGGGAAAAGGAGGTTTGAGAAGGGCGGAGAGCTGGGCTGGAGAAATGGGGAGGTAGAAAGCAAGCCAGCCTTGCAGGGCCCCAGGACTGCTGGCTGGGCAACGTTTTCCTCAGGAAGAAAGGGGTAATGGGTGACAGGAGTCCTAGGTGACAGGAGGGCCATGGAGGGTCAGGGCAGCTGGAATGTTAGCCCCACCCCAGGAAGAGAGGGCTGCAGGGGAGGAGGTGTTTGGGAGGAAGGCAAAACATTTGCATGTGTAACAGGGCTGGAATGAGGGAGAGAGAAGGGGAGAAAGATGAAAGGAAATTACCATACATCAGGATCTTGTTATTCAACCTAATTTTCAAAGGACCACAGCTGTCGCGCTGAGATAATCCGTTAATTATAACAGCCATTGTGCTTTGGCAATGGGAGAGAAACCGAGGCTGGGTGCAGGCTGAAGGCTGGGGTGGGAAGAGGGCTCTGAGGGGCCAGAACCTCAGAGAGGGGCCAGTTGATGGAGGCAGGACCAGAGGGAAGGCCCAATCAGGGAATAGGCCACAGTCTTCACACTGGCACTGTCAGTGCTGAGGTGACAAGTCCTACTGCTTGCCAGCCAGTGCTATGTGGCTAGAGCCAGTCTCCAGAACCTTCTGCAGCAGTTAACTTTATTGAGCAATTACTATGTGCCAGACCCTGCTCCCGGTAGCCAGTGCTCTTCCTGTCTCAATTTTTTTTTAAGGAGAGGAAACACCCAGGAACATAGCTTGCCAGGAACATAGAGCGAGGTAGTTGGCAGAGACCCATGTGAGCTTCCAGGACAGTCTGAGGGACCACTGGTCTCCAGGGACTGACTTCCATGAGTGGGTAGACACAGGAGCTGCCATGGTTTAAGGCCATGGCTCTGCCTGGGCAGCCGTCACCACAGTCACGGGTGGCCCTCCCCCACATGGCGTTTCCGGGGCCCAGTGTCAGCCCCTGGGTGTGGATAGAGCCTCTTTGTTCTCTGGGCCTGCAGCTGCAGGTCCCCTTCGGCCTCTGAGGCAGGCTTTAGTCTGTCCACCCCACCCCCAGAGCAACCACCCTCAGGGCCAGGAGAGGGCATTCCATCCCTGGTGGCATCCAAGTTGGCCCTTGCCACCGCCCGCTTAGAGATAGGGAGGAGACAGACAGACAGCTGGTTCAGCCCTGGGAGAGATTCTCACCCTAGCTCCAGGGTCTTGGGGACCCTGAGTGCTAGGGCGGGGAAGTGACCAGTGGGAAGCAGTGAACTGTGGTAGGGCATCTTGAAGTCTGACTGCCCAGGACCCCAGAGCCTTTGGTAGACTTGGCTTTGGAGCCAGGTTCATGCCTTGACCATAGGACCGTGACTGGAAACTTAGTAGAGACCATCTGGCAAGGCAGGGGGCTTATTCTGCAAATTCAGTGGGAACCCCCAATGTGGCCCAGGGACCCAGGTAGTGCTGTGGAAGGCAGGGGAGAAGCAGAGGCCCTCAGAGAGGCAGAAGGTCTGGGGTGATCTCTGTGGAGATTCCCCTGCTAGGAGCCAAGGGGAAGCCTAGGGCAGCCAGGGCAGTTTAAAGTCTTGGAAAATGGGTGACCCCCCATCCCAGGTTCTGACTGGTAGGGCCGAAGAGCCATGTATGCATTCCAGAAACTTCAAGCCCCAGACTCATCATTGGAGACACCCCCCCAAATGACAGACCCATGTTGTTACTATCCTAGAGTTCTAAGACCCACAACCACAGTGGGGCAGGGTGTTGTGGTGTGGTGGAAGCAGGAGTGAAATTCAGGGGTGGGGGGCAGAGTGACCAGCTCATGCATCCCCATACAGACAAGTCTACTTGTTCCCACTCTGAGGTTCCCTGTATTGTTAGCTTCACAAACTGCAGTAGCCAGGGATCAGGGCAGCAGCCCAGGGAGGACAGAGCCACCTGCTCTGCCCCATGGCAGGCAGACCCACAGTCACCCTTATCCAGGGGTGCCAGTGGCTTTCAGAAACAGGGATGCTTAAAATAAAAGCTCCCAAGCTTTCCACATTGCCAGGCAGCTAAAAACTAAATTTAATTACTGTCCAGATGAAGCAGGGTCCCTTGGCATGGCATGAGTCAGAGCCTGGGATTGAGGAAGAGAAAGTCACCCAGAGCAACTGGAAACCTGGGCTCCGCATCTCTACAATAGGCATCAGGACAGTGGAGGCTCAAGGCTGGAACCAGGATGAACAGGCTTCCCAGGAAGCTCCCAGGCCCAGCCGATGCCTTTTCTGTCCACCCATCCCTCTGCCAGGTCAGGCTGCCCAAGTGGACTGAATCATGCTCAAACCTGGATCCTCTGCTTCTCCCCAGGGGTCCCCCGACACACTGCCCTGCCTTGGGATGGCCTTAAGGATGTTTCGAGGCAGGAAAATGCCCACCCTTGGGGACCCTGGAGGAGGAGCAGGCCGTGCAGGCAGAACCAAGAGGGTGGGCCTAGCCGGTGCCTGGTACATAGTAGGTGTTCCATAAATGTTTATTGAATGAATGAATGGAGGCCATGCAGGCAGAGGCAGCGTGCGCGTGCAGGCACTGTGCAAGAGCGGGTCCAGTGGAGACCGGTGAGTAGTGCCCAGGGGCTGCAGCTCAGCCAGGCGGGGTGAGACCAAGCAGGGAGAGGGCCGGGGCAGGTTGGGGAGGAGAAGCCAGGTGGGCAGAGGGCAGGGTACAGTGGGGGAGGTAGGGTCAGTAAGGGGAGGTGTGCTTCTGGGGAGGAAAGGTCAGGTGAGGAGCGGGAGGAAGGGAGGCAGTCCCCTATGTAGCCTGGAGGCTTATTCAAGGACTAGGAGGTGACCTCGGGTAGCACTAGAGCCTCCCTGTGGTGGGCTGCCTGAGGGCCCCTGTGGGGTGGGTGTAGTGCAAAAGCTGGGCCATGCCAGGGGTTGCAGAACTGCTCACAGAACCAGGGTTGGGCCTTCCTGGCAGGCTGCGGGTAATAGCCAAAGTCAGGGCCTTTCTAAAGCTCCATGACTTCCTGTCTGTACTTCTGGGAGGCCTGGTTGTAGTTAGTGCTGGTAATAGTTGTGATGCCTTGGGAAGAGGGGAGGAAGGGAACCCATGAGCGTGGGGGACACAGTGGGCAGAGACAGAGATCTTGGGGTAGACCCTGACAAGTCTAAGAGTCCTGTATACGGCTGTTCTCTGAAAGGTAAGGAAACTGAGGGCCAGAGAGGAAAGGTACTGATTTGCCTGGGTCACATGATAAGCCAGTCATCCAGGCAGATGCCCTTCCATGGGAGCTGGGTTCTACCCATGACAGCTAAGGCTCTGCCCAAGGGCCCAAGGGCTTAAGCCCCTTTTGGCTCTGGGAGTGCCAGACTTTGTGTTCCTAGAACCCTGCAACACCCAGTCCTGGCCATTAGTGGGTGTATGTGGGAGGTCGTCTTAGGCTCCTGAGGCCCACCAAAGCTCAGGGAAGTCTATTGTGGCAGTGCCAGACCCAGAGCAGGGTGTGGAGGGGTGCAAGTATGGCTGGTGTGCCAGCAAGTTCCTGATCTTCCCATGACATGGCACAGCCATGGCTGTTCCCAGCACAGGGCAACACAGAGCCAGGAGAGGGCAGAGGCAGAGAGGGCAGAGGCCAGCTCCCCAGGGATGCAGAGCAGCTGGCATGCGGGCTGAAACTAATGAGACGTGATTGAATGGGGTGGACAGAACTCAGCACCTCGGATGAGACGGAGACAGAATGGCCCCCATCTGCCTGGGATGTACCAAGGGTGTCGGGCTGCCTGGCAGTGTGCACAGGGAGCCCAGGGGCTTGGGTAACATTTAGGATGAGGTGAGGATGGTGCTGGAATGTGCTGCATTGACAGAAGCAGGGCGCCAAGCCAAGGGAGGCCAGGGGTCCCTGGTGCCAGTCATGGCTCAGACATTGACCTTGATGCTAGGTCTCAGGTAGCCCAATCATAGCAGGGACCTGGGGTGGCTGTATCCAGCGTGGGGAGGGAGTTGACACCATGGTTCTGGGAGAGGAGGTAGAGGATGTGTTTTCAGGCAGGTACTGAGTCTTGTAACGGGAAGTATACAGATTGTGAGAAGCGGTCCCTAGAGAGACAATGGGAAGCTGTGCCAATCACTCAGGCTGGCCTGGGGTCCTGGCTGTGTGACCCTGGGCAGATCACTGCGCCTCTCTGAGCCTCCCCTCTCCTTTTGACACATTGTTACCTCCCATGGAGGTGGGGTCCTCCCTCTGACCTCTAGCATCCTGGCCCCATGGAGTCAGGAGTTTCCCCCTTGCTAGCCCCAACCTCTCCTGCACACAGCAGCCCCAGCAGCTGGGTCTGAGCGTGTGGCAGGCATGGGAGGTTGGGGGTGGGGGGCATTTGAGACCTGAAGGAAGAAAGGCAATGGACTATGGATACAGTGAGGAAGTATATGTCAGGCAGTCTGTGCACAGGTCCTGGGCTTGAGGAGCATAGCTGGTCTGGAATAATAACTTCTTGACTGATAGAGGAGTTAGTCTCTTGGGGAATGGGGACAGCGCCCTCTGACAGGAGGAAGGGGCCTAAACCAGGGACAGGAAACTCACCAGTTGGCCAGTGGATGAGCCTTCCCTTGCCCTGAGCCCAGGTCTTCCATTTTCTCACCTGTAAAATGAGATGCACAGGGTTGAGATAACATTCAAGGATGATTAAGGCCCTGAAAAAGCATTCCTGTGACTGAGGCAAGGAGACTGGAGCCCAGAGAGGGTGCTGAACCTACTTGTGTCACACAGCTCTGCCTTTGATCCCAGGATCTCTTACTTCCAGGAAGACGCTTTTGACTGTGTCCTCTGAGGCTCATCACACCTGAAATCCAGTGAATTCACCAAACAGTGGTTCGGTGGTGATGGGACAGTATCCCATTTCACAGAGGAGCAGCGACCCAGGGCAGCCTGCTCTAAGAACCCCTGGAGGGGAATGGAGGCAGTAACAAGGCCCAGTGTCTAGACCTGTGGTGGTGAGGTAGTGGCCTGGTGGCCTGGTGCTGGCTTCTGGAAAGGGAGTCTATCCCTCTGTCACTCCCAAGCCTGTCACCCTTCTCCCTGCAGTCAGGTCTGGGAGCTCCGGCCTGGCCTGGGGAGTCCTCATCCTCTTAGTTCCAGGGGCAGTAGTGATGGTACATTGGGGAGCTTTGGCCAGCCTGGCTCAGAGGAGTCTGTGCCAGGACTGATGAACTACAAGGGAGGCATCCTCTGAGCCTCACATCCTGTTCCTGGGCGTATAGGCCACACAATCTCCTTGTTCCTTGAGCTGACCAGTATCCCCATGGGAGCAGAAGCCCAGGGCAGCACAGCTGAGAGGCCTCTTGTCCTGAGCAGAATAGGTTCGCTCTGCCGTGTCCTGGAGTTTTCTGGGAGCTCTGATTGTCATACAGTAGAGAAAATGAGACTCAGAGAAGGACTGAGGCCCACCCAAAGTCTCAGTGAGGCAGCTAATGATCCACATCCTTAGCTGACTTCCACTCACATACCCCGCCCCTCTATCCACCTGCAGCCTGCTGGAAGTACAAGACTGGCATAGCCCATCCATCTTCCTGTCCAGTACAGACCTTTGAGCTCTCCACTCCCAAGCAGGGCTATCCCTGGAGTGGGGTCAGGATGCCCCCATGAGCCTGGTGGTCAGCATGCTGTGGGACTGAGAACATGACCCTGAGCCCAGGACATTCTGATCCTGGGTGATGAGACTTGTGATGCTGGCATGACAGAAGCCACACAGATTGCATTGCCAGACCTGGGGCTGTCCTCTGTGGGAGGCTCTGCTGCACCAGCTGTGCCTGTAGGGTATATTCACTGAACTTCATGTGCAGGGGAGTCAGTGCTCAAGCGAGTGTCTGCACTGCAAAGGCAGGGAACCGTTGCCAAGGGCAGATCCCACTGAGGCCTTGAGGTCCGCATCCTGGGTCCTGAGCCCAGCCTGCTCCCAGCTGGGCACAGCACCTGGACCATGTCTTCTCCTCTGTCCTGGCCTCAGTTTCCCCTGTGAGGAGGTTGGGATCCAGCTGAGCCTGGGCTTGTCTTTCCTTGGTGATACGATTCTGAGTCCATAGAGGGCCTGGAGGCTCCCGGTACCAACCCCAGCTGAGTCAACCTGATGTCAAAGCTAAGCCTGGGGCAGGAGAGGCACGTGTCTGGGTGGCCCTTCTCCCTCTTTTTCTATTGGAGGGTTCACAAGAGGGAACAGCACACAGCCTGTAGCTGGTCAGGTTACTCTTGGCGGGTGCTGTACTGGTTGTGACTGTGTTCCCTACCCGAGCTATCCCTCCTGCTTGGCTGCATGGCTTCCAGGTTGCACCAGGGGCTGGGTACATCATGACCCCGGAGATCTGGGCAGCTGTCTCACTGCTACCGTACTCCTTCTGACATGCCCCAGGCCGTATTTCAGGGCTCAGCCAGGCCTGGTCTCATTCATCTCCCTGGGCCCCGAGGAGTGGGAAGCAGGTGCCTGTATCCCTCTGTCACTCCCGAGCCTGTCACCCTTCTCCCTGTGGTCAGTCCTCGCTCAGACACTCTTCATTTGCTCCGTTTGTCTCTTCCTGTCTCGTGCTCCACTGTCTCTGTGGCTCTTCTCTCTCCTTCCTCCCAGATGTGTTTGTATGTCTGAGGAGCACCCTCATGAGAGAAGGGGAAGCTGACCTTGCCTGTTTGACCCCCAGGTCCCTCACACCCACCCCCTGCACACCTGCACCTACAGCAGGTGAGCAGCTGGGCTGGGGGCCAAGTGTTGCTGCCAGTGCCTTCATGACCTCCTTGTCCCCTCCCTGGCTGTGTCAGGCCTCGATGGGTGGTGGGCAGGCAGCCCAGGATGGGGACAGGGCGGCTGACACACACAGGACGCAGTGATGGGAACCTCCTCCCCGTTCTGCTTGTGTCATGGAAGAGTGGGAGCTAGGCCCCGGCCCAAGTCAGCCTGGGGAAAAGGGGAGCAAGAGAAGGGCCACCACAGGGTCACCTTGAGGATTTGGGGACGCTACAGGCCCCTGCCTAGGCTGGTCAGGAAGGGAAGGAGGAGGGGGAGGGGGGAGGGGAGGACTGGGTGGGACCAGCACTCCTCCAAGCCAGGGCCCCCTTCCATGCCCTCCCTTAGCTCCTTCCTATCATTTGGCTTGGCCTGTGCCTCCCAAGGCTCCAGCCAGCTCTGCAAATAACCCCTGGTCCTGGTGATATTGTTTTAGCAGCTCAGATCTGAGGAGAGTGCCTTTGTGTGTAGCTGAGGTTTTGCATGTTATGCATGCATGTGCATGAGGAACACACTTGTGTTTAAGTGGCATAGGGGGGTGGGTGATTACTTGTGTTTCTTCGGTTCCCAATATGCATGCCTGCCACCTCTCCACACACTAGCATGTATCCCTGTGGCTGACCACACAGCTGTACACATCCCATACACATGAACAAATGTGTGCTCCTGCGCATTCCTGCATGCTGTCTCCTTGCACACGTCAGCACTCCTCATGTCTGCATATTGAACCAGCTGCACACCTGCACTTGCACCTGCACACTGCTGTGGTTCCTAGACCAAGGAGGGACTGAGGCCTCTCTGACAGGCTGGCTCCTGTTCTCCCAAGAATTTAGCCCCCTCCAGGACAACTGACTACCTATGGGAGGGGAAACGGGTGCAGAGAGGGATAAGACTGACCTGGGGTCCCCCCAGGAACCATGCTTCACAGGATCCAAAGTCTTACCAGCTCTGAGAGCTTTGAGTAGTGCAGCCGATAACAGACATCTCAGCTGCTCTGCAGCCTTGCAACCCCCACACTAGCCCTGCAGTAGGGAAGGCATGTGTCAGATCGGCTTCAGAGGGCCCCCCCTGCCATAGTGTTAGCCTTTGACCCAGGCTGGACCTTGTCGCCTGCTGCTTTCTCAGCCAGTGCTGTCACCCCAGACTTCCTCAGGGTTCTGTCCTCCCCTTCCTGTTGCCCCTTGTGGGGCTCAGTGCTGTAAATTGACTTTGCTTTAACACAAAGGGCTGAACACTTTTCAATGTGCTCTCTCTGCTGGAGTCTCCCTGAGGGAGGGGCAGGAGGTGGAGGCGGCTCTTGTGGACACTGGTATGGCTTTCTTTGGACTAACATGGACTTCTCTAATCATTCTGGGTCCTTACTCTGACAGAGCTCAAGGGGTCTGGGTAGTTTCTGGGGTCCAGCGCACAGGGTGCAAACTGGTCTGGCTGTGTGCAGCTTGTAGGGGTCCCAGCCAAATCTTCCTGGAGCTTGGGGGCTCCCTTTCCATATGGGGAGAGTGAAAGAGGGATCAGATGGGTTGTGGGCTGTGACCCTCTGTCCTTCCCCTGTCCTGTGTCTCCGGATGAGCAGCACAAGTTCCCTTGCTGTTTCCCCATCCGATAGCCTAGGGAAGGACCTGGTCCCACTTCACATAAGTGCAGTAACTCAGAGAGATGACATGATGTACCCGGCCAGTCAGGCTGTGTGGTCAGGGTCTTTTGGCCCCTGGCTCCATGGGGGCTCTTAGTGTCTCAGGAGCCTTGATCCTGGTCTGAGCTCTGCTGTGTTACTTCAGGCAAGGTCCTGTCCCTCTCTGAGCTTCTGATTCTGCAGCCATGAAAGGGGATATGCAGACTGGGCTATGCTGTTCCTGAGTCCTGAGCCCACCCTGGAATCAAGGTGCTCTCCTGGAGAGAGTCTACTGGGGAGTGTCTGGATTCTGCATCTCTTGCTCCCTCCCTTGGCTTAGCTCTGCAGAGACCCTGGCCCTTGCACCTCCCCACATGGGGGACCCACCGCCAACACGTTTTGCTCCCCTCCCCCATGGAAGCTGAGACAAGGGAATTATTTTTGGAACAAGAGCAGTTACACAACAAATGAATTATTTATCTTTGGGCGTGGAGAACGAGGCATTTTGCTGGGCTTCTTAATTCTTATCTGGATTTGGGGTTGCCCACTTGGGTGTGTGGACATGTGTGTCGTGTGCACAGATGGTAGGTATGCTTGTGTACGTGTGTGTGTGTGTGTGTGTGTGTGTGTGTGTGTGTGTGTGTGTATGACTGTGTGCATGTGTCCCTGCCCTGTGTGCATGCCTTGGAACTCAGGATCATGTGGGGCATGTGGGCTTTGTGCAGGCCACAACTGTGTGTAGACACTGTGCTGCGCATGCACTGGATGGCATCTATGCACCTGTGCCCACCCATTCCTCTCCAGTTCCCTTTCTCTGTCTTGGTACCTCCACTGCCCTACCCCCACTGCAGCTCTTCCGTGATTATCTCCTTCCTGTTTTGTCACCCCTAGCCCCTCCTTGCTTTAGGAAGCAGGACCTCTGGGAGTACTTGCTGCCACAGAGTCCCCGGGAAGGGTATGGAGAGGGATGGAGCCTACGTTGGAACCTGAAAGGACTGGTCTGGGCCCTCACTCTCACCTGCCATCCTCTCTCCATGCTACCTTTCAGGAACCAGGTGACCGATGGGCCTCTTCCTCCCTGTCCCCATCTTTCTCACCATCCCCCAGTGCTGCACTCCTGGCTTCAGTAGGAACTGCCTGAAGTTCTGAACCCAGAACCCAAGGAGGAAGAGGAGGAGGAAGAAGAGGAGGAGGGAGAGGAGGAAGTCAAGGCCTGAGAACCTGTATACTTTTGCAACAGGAACCAGGAACTACGCCCAGCAGCTTATAGCCCTCCAGAGTGCCCCCAGAAATAGGCACCAGCTGTTCCCACCTTGCCAGGAGCCCCTGTACTGGGGGTCGCCCCCAAGATGGTGGCGGCCCCAGGGAGGACTGTGCTACCAGCTCCAGCCTCCAGTCACTAGGCCCCCCTGTGCTCCGGCCCCTCACCCCAGCTGGGCCTGCAAGGGGCCGAGGCCTGGGCCATGCTGCGCCTAGGGCTGTGCGCAGCAGCGCTGCTGTGCGTGTGCCGGCCTGGTGCCGTGCGTGCAGACTGCTGGCTCATTGAGGGAGACAAGGGCTACGTGTGGCTGGCCATCTGCAGCCAGAACCAGCCACCCTATGAGACCATCCCTCAGCACATCAACAGCACCGTGCACGACCTGAGGCTCAACGAAAACAAGCTCAAGGCCGTGCTGTACTCCTCGCTTAACCGCTTTGGGAACCTCACGGACCTCAACCTCACTAAGAATGAGATCTCCTACATTGAGGACGGTGCCTTCCTGGGCCAGACGAGCCTGCAGGTCCTGCAGCTGGGCTACAACCGGCTCAGCAACCTGACAGAGGGCATGCTGCGAGGCATGAGCCGGCTGCAGTTCCTCTTCGTCCAGCACAACCTGATTGAGGTGGTAACACCCACTGCCTTCTCAGAGTGTCCCAGCCTCATCAGCATCGACCTGTCCTCCAACCGCCTCAGTCGCCTTGATGGCGCCACCTTCGCCAGCCTCTCCAGCCTGATGGTGTGTGAGCTGGCTGGCAACCCCTTTAACTGCGAGTGTGATCTCTTTGGCTTCCTAGCCTGGCTTGTGGTCTTCAACAATGTCACCAAAAACTATGACCGTCTGCAGTGTGAGTCACCAAGGGAGTTCGCTGGCTACCCACTGCTCGTGCCCCGGCCCTACCACAGCCTCAATGCCATCACTGTCCTGCAGGCCAAATGCCGTAATGGCTCCTTGCCTGCCAGGCCCGTAAGTCACCCCACACCCTACTCCACTGATACCCAGAGGGAGCCAGATGAGAACTCAGGCTTCAACCCTGATGAGATTCTCTCAGTGGAGCCACCTGCCTCATCTACCACAGATGCATCTGCAGGACCGGCCATCAAGCTGCATCACGTCACTTTTACCTCGGCCACCCTGGTGGTCATCATCCCACACCCCTACAGTAAGATGTATGTGCTGGTCCAGTACAACAACAGCTATTTCTCTGACGTCATGACACTGAAAAACAAGAAAGAGATTGTGACGCTGGACAAGCTGCGCGCGCACACTGAATACACCTTCTGTGTGACCTCACTGCGCAACAGTCGCCGCTTCAACCACACTTGCCTGACCTTTACCACGCGGGACCCTGTGCCTGGGGACCTGGCTCCCAGCACCTCCACCACTACACACTATATCATGACCATCCTGGGCTGCCTGTTTGGGATGGTCATTGTGCTGGGCGCTGTCTACTACTGCTTGCGGAAGCGGCGCATGCAGGAAGAGAAACAGAAGTCTGTTAATGTCAAGAAGACCATCTTGGAGATGCGCTACGGGGCTGATGTGGACGCTGGTTCCATTGTGCACGCTGCCCAAAAGTTGGGCGAGCCTCCAGTGTTGCCGGTAGCCCGCATGTCCTCCATCCCTTCTATGATTGGGGAAAAGCTGCCCACTTCCAAGGGGCTGGAGGCCGGGCTGGACACACCCAAGGTGGCTACCAAAGGCAACTATATTGAGGTGCGCACGGGTGCTGCAGGGGACAGCCTGGCCCGGCCTGAGGATGATCTCCCAGACCTTGAAAACGGCCAAGGCTCGGCTGCTGAGATCTCCACCATCGCTAAGGAAGTGGACAAGGTCAACCAGATCATTAACAATTGCATCGATGCGCTCAAGCTGGACTCGGCCTCTTTCTTGGGAGGTGGCAGCGGTGGTGGAGACTCCGATCTGGCCTTCGAGTGCCAGTCCCTCCCTGCGGCTGCTGCCGCCACCTCGGCTGCTGCTCCCGGGGCACTAGAGCGGCCCAGCTTCCTGTCACCCCCCTACAAGGAGAGCTCCCACCATCCGCTGCAACGCCAACTGAGCGCCGACGCCGCAGTAACCCGCAAAACCTGCAGCGTGTCGTCCAGTGGCTCCATCAAGAGCGCCAAGGTCTTTAGCCTGGATGTGCCGGACCACCCAGCCACTACGGGGCTGGCCAAGGGTGACTCCAAGTACATCGAAAAGGGCAGCCCCCTCAACAGTCCGCTGGACCGGCTCCCACTGGTGCCTGCGGGCAGCGGCAGTGGCAGTGGAGGAGGGGGTGGCATCCATCACCTGGAGGTGAAGCCAGCCTACCACTGCAGCGAGCACCGGCACAGCTTCCCCGCCCTCTACTACGAGGAAGGTGCGGATAGCCTGAGCCAGCGTGTGTCCTTCCTCAAGCCGCTGACCCGCTCCAAGCGTGACTCCACCTATTCACAGCTCTCCCCCAGACATTACTATTCAGGCTACTCCTCCAGTCCTGAGTACTCGTCTGAGAGCACGCACAAGATCTGGGAGCGATTCCGGCCCTACAAGAAGCACCACCGAGAGGAGGTGTACATGGCTGCCGGCCACGCCCTGCGAAAGAAGGTCCAGTTCGCCAAGGACGAGGATCTGCACGACATCCTCGATTACTGGAAGGGGGTCTCGGCCCAGCAGAAGCTGTGACCCTCTCCTCCCCCTGGTGAGGTGAGGGGGAGGGCCGGGGCACCCGGGGGTTGGGCCCCCGGGGTGGCCGGGCGGGGGACGGGCCGTGGGGCCCGGGCCGAGAAGTGGACGCACACGCACACCCGCACACATGCACCCATGCACACACTTGACCACCACCTGACTGTGAAGCAACCAACACCCGACAATAACGGACAGGAAAACCAACATTTTCCTTAAAGTTTACAACCTGATACGGAAACCAGTCGTCTTTACTGTGCTGCCCAAGGGGGCTCTGCTGGGGTGGGTGGGGCGGGTCGGGTCTGGGCAGGGCAAGGAGAGGTGTGGGGCCTGGGACTTGGGGCAGGTTTGGGGGCAAAAAGACTGGGATAGAGATGGACCATAGTCTTCTGGGGCAGAGAAGGGTCCCCCAAGCTGGGGGATGTGCCACTTGGGGATTGGGCACCACATGGACACTGGGCATCCTATCTCCCACTTTATGTGTGGTTAAGAAAGAGAAACAGAGACCCCAGGGGTCAGCCAACAGGTTATAGTTCTGTCTCCCAGTTTCCTGGCCCAGTGCTGCCCCCCTCCTCCTCTGGGCCCCACCTTCTCTACCCATAACCCTTTCCAAAGCTGTGATCTTAGGAGTCCAGAGACTGAAGCAGGCAGGTGCTTTTCCTCTCTGGAAAGTTCATGGACACTCTTAGGGTGAAAGTCTATGGTCTCTAATCCTAGGTGGCCAGGAATGCCCTGCTAATCAGAGAGGAGCAGAGACCAGGGGTGCCACCAATCCCCTTAAAGCGTCTTCCAAGTAGCCCTGGGGAGCTGCCTGGGGGTGGGGTGGTGGGCAGGTCTGCTCCCTTCTGGCATCTCAGGTGCAGGCCCCCATGACCCAGCCCCCAGTTTCTCTGGGTCTCTGGGACCCCTACCCACTCCAGAGGGGTGACAGTGAATAGTAAGGCCTGGGGCCAGTGTGGAGGTAGCATGGAATGGGGGCTTCCTCCCTGCACCCCACATCCTCTGCTTTCACCTGCTTGTCCCTACTGTGTGGTTTTAGAGCAGCATCTTAGCCTGCCTAGAGCAAGGAGGGTAACCCCCACTGTATCCTGTCTCACACCCTGGCTAAAGGGGCTCCCATGTTTCCATGGAAATGGCCACACTCCTCTTTCTGACCCCCCACCCAACATCAATCAAAGCACAAATAGTGAGGTGCCCCCCCACTGTCCTGGTGGGGGAGCAGGCTGGGTTCCTGGCCCCTCCCCCTCCCTAGCTAGTCTGTTGCCGTGGCAACCTGGTGCCTGGCAGTTGGTGCCCAGAGAGACCGACTGACCAACCGTTGGGTTCTGGAGTTCTCTCAGTGTGGGCGGCAGCAGAGGGTGGTGAGGGAGGCCAAGCCAGGCAGTGACTTTCGCCAGGCAGTGACTTTCTCAAGAGCCAGGGGCTTCTGGGGACAAGCTCTGGGGCTTCATTCTGAGTCTTGAGTCTGGACAAAGGCATTGTCCCTTGCCCTTGAGTGGAAGGTGGGCCAGTGGGGCCTGGGGACAGCTGTACTAGGCAATTCTGCCCCCTGCCCATGTACTCTTGGCTTCCCATTGAGATGGGGTGGAGCCCTCTTGGCTCCCTCAACCCCTTCCAGAGACCCCCTTCGTTCCTGTCACTCCTATGGGCTTCTTGAGGCTGGGGAGTATAACTGTGGGTGAGATGGGTTTGGGGGTACATCTGACCTGTCCTGTGGGGGCTCTGACCAGGAAAGCTAGGGCCATCCTTGGTGCCACTTACCAGTACCTGCTGGTGCCAGGGGTCAGGGAAAAACCAGGGGGCTTAACTGAATGCCTCTGTCACATGGACTTTAGGGGTAGGATGAGCCCAGGGCTCACTCAGGGGTGACATCTACAAAGAAAAGACTGTTCTCCTGGGGAGAGGAGGGAACCGACTGGCCTGGATATGCAGAGCTCCCCTAGCCCCCAAACCTGCCCTCACCTCACCCCATACCGACTACCCTGAGAACAGCAGGCAGGCCAAGAGGCCGGGGGCGTGAGCAAGCAGACCCCTGTTATCTTTGCATGACGATTTTACTGTATTTTTCTGAGCAAACATCTGTTGTGTATGTGCCAGTTTGTCCAGACCCTCCTCCAGCCCATTCCCTCTGTTGTGATCCGAGCAGCTCTTGAAACCCAGGGAGGGCCAGCTCTGCAAAAGACCCAAAACAGGTGCCACCAACACAGCCCTGCCCCATACCCACCTCCTGTCTTTCTGGGCATTGGGCCCACAAGTGCTGCCTACCCTCCTCCATCTTTTAACGCTCCCACCTCCCGCCCCTGTCCCGTCCCATTGCTCCTTGTCCCTTTCTTTCCTTCCTGGCAAGGAGGGCAGTCTCAGAAAAGTGTCTTGGAGGCCATGTTGTGGAAGGGGCCATGGGAGGACCCTCATCTATCTGTTCCCATTTGGTAATGATGCTGTGGCCCTCCAAAGAGGTGCCTGCCTGGTGGCTCAGCTGGCCAGATGGGATGGGGAGGTCAGTCGCCCTGAGTACAAGAGGCCAAGAGCTTGGGGGCTCTGTGGAGAGGTTTAGGGCCCTGCTGGAGGGGAGTGAACATGGTCATGCTCAGGAAGGGTCCCTGCAGCAGGTTGGGCTCTGTCCTCACTATTTTGCCATCATTCCTGGTTGAGGATGACCTATGAAACAGATCCCATGTCAGGGGAGCTTTAAAGCGAGGGCCCATCTCAACAGTGGGTCACGGGCATACGTGATAACCGTGGGGACTCAGGCCACAGGGCTCTTTAAGACAGGGAAAGAGTCCAAGGCAAGGCCTCTCCCCTCCACTGGGCCAGACCCCCAGCTGTCCAGGCCAGTCCTCTGGGAAAGGCCCTTGAGGCTCCCTCTGTATGTCCTGTGTCCTGTTCAAGATGGTTTGTCTCTAAGCAGAAGTGAAAGTCACAAAGATAAATGGAGTTAACCCTCCAGAGCTCAGTAAGGGGCTTGACTTTGGCAATGAGGTCTGGGGGCAGGCTATGATTGAGTATCCCCAGGACAAGAGGGATATGGTTTGACAGAGGGGCGAGTCAACTTGGAAATATGGGTGCGGGGTCACACTGGGCTTTCCTGTCTTTGAGAACCGCCTGTGAAGTCCTTTCTGAGGAAGCAGTTCAGAGGGTCATGGCTTCCTCTGTTGGAAACTGTGTCCTTCCAGATATAAAAAGCTCAGGTTCAATGGGAAGAAAGCTTAGTTATAGTAGACTCAGGGGTCCTGGATCAGCTTCTCCTTCCTGGGAGAAGCCCCTCTGTCACCAAAGGCCCCTCAGCTCTGCATTCCTCCTGAGCACAGAGCCAGAAGCCCCAGGGCAACCTAAGGCTAGAAGGCCTGTCTGGGGAGGGGAGGGGTGGAGTGGGAAGGGAATGGCCAGGGAAAGTCCACCTTGAGAAGACTAGGCCAGGACAGCTGCTGAGAGGCAGGTGGTAATGGCGGGGGACTCCTGGGGCTCACCCTTGGTCCCCATATTCCCAATTAGAAGTCACTTATGCTCACATACCAGAAAACTTAAGGGGAATGGGGTGGCGAAAGCACAGGGAAGGGAAAGGAACTTCTAGACAGGCCCAGAACTGGACAGACAGGGACAGTGGTGACAGCTTTCACAATACCCTTGGCTCTTGAGGGCCCTAAAATGCAGGACAGGGAGAGTAAGCTTCCTAGCAATCTGGGTTCCTGCAGAGGATTGAGTGATGGGGGTGGGGGACTGGGTGGTCCCTTGTCTCTCAAAGGAGGTGACAGGCAGCATGACAAGAGCCAATGCTGTGGCAAATTGGAGGCGGCAGGGTTGGAGCTGTTGGCTGTCCCCAAGCCTCTTCGGCCACTCCATGACTCTACCTCCACAGATTCTGGCACAGCTGGGGGGCCTCTTCCCCAGGTTAAGGATGGGTGGGAAAAGGTATAGGGGAGTCTGAGATGATGTCTAGCTCCCTGCAGGGAGACCTCACCCGGCCGATGTTTGTCCCTCTTGACAAGGCTTGCTGCTCTGGGATCCCCTTAGCCCCAAGAGAGGGGAACCTTCTCCTAGCTCTCATGCTCACGTCTCACCCTGATACTTTCCTCGACTTACATCTGCCTCTAAGAACCAGTCTGATCTCCCCTATTTGCCTCAGTGTCCCCCACTAGATGCCAACCACCCCCCCTGCTGAGGAGCAGGGAGAGGTATCTAGGGGGTGGGGGGTGGGAGGACCTGGGCTTCCTCTTCCTCTCCTCCCCCTCTGCCAGTCAAGCACAGGGCTGGGGCAGGGGTCCAGGTAGTGATGGTCACCTCCTTCCCCTGTCCTCCTCAGGATCTGCCAGCCCTCAGGGTGTGGTGGCCTGGCACCTGGTTTGAGCCCTGTGGAGCTGGGCTCCAGGCCCTGGACTCTGAACCTGTGACCCCTCGCTGTGTATGGAACTTTCTTCCTCCTGGGGGCGTTGGACCCTATCCTCTTCTTCTTTTAGGGGGTAACTTCATTTGTTTTCTCCAGCTGCCTCTCCCTCCAATTTTCCTGTTTTAAACCGAATGGCACGAAATTGTTTTTCCTCAACTTGGAGATTCCTGTATGGAGAGAATCAATTTCTATATTTGCAATAAATTTCTTATTTAAAACAACAGGCCCAAGATTTGCATTGAATGGTATGCACTAGCGCCTCCAGTTCCTGGTGTCGCTTGTCCTCGGCTAAAAAATGGCACTGAATAGTTGGGGTTGTCATGGGGCACCTCACAGGGAATGTAGGGGTACTATACACTCCCAACACTCCACTGTCACAAGAACCTGGAAGGAGCTCAGGCTTGGGACCTGGTGCCTTGTGGTCCTGGCCTCCCTCCATCCCTGGGCGCAGACCTCTGGAAGGCACATAAGCAGTTTCTCAGGAGAAAAATTGCCCTAGACAGCACGGATTGTCCCAGGTCACTTTCCCTATCCCTGCCAGGGCGGGAAACACTAGACCTTCTCTGGGCCTGGCCTGGACACCAGTCCCTGGGGCTGTCCTGCACCATCTGCTGTCCTTTCCTAACAGCTGTGGACC